AAAAAAAAAAAAAAGAAAAATAGTAACAATTTGTAATAATAAATAATAAATAATAAAAAAAATATAAAAATAAAATAAAAAATTCCCGCGAAAAAATCAAAAAAGGGAACAAAAGAGAATATCTGATAATGCATGATCTGCGAAAAATTGATGGTTTATTGATGTAGTTGATGTTATCCGCCGAATTGCATATCATCTTCTATGAAACATATTGTATTATCGGAGGTATCGGGAAACATTAAAACAATTACAAGCACTGTAAGTCTGTAAGTCTTTAAGTACTGTTTAAAATAATAATTAAAAAAAATTTATTATTATTATTAAAAAATTTATTATTATTATTAAGTTGTCAAAAGAACAAGTTTATTACAAGAAAAGGGATGTTTGTGGGTAAGTCAAGTGATATTTATTTGTGAGACGTACGTGAGAGATTTTTCTTTTTATTATTTATTTATTTGGTGGGGTTATTGTTTCACAAAGAAAGAATTGAAGAAATTCAAAACTCGCGAAAGGGCGGTTTATTTTGGCAAAAAGATAAACAAATTTTTATTTAAATAGTTAATTTTACAGACAAAGACTTGGCAGAATTATTTAATTGGTGTTCAACTTTTTCATACTACACAAAATTTGGTAACATTTTTCCAATTTTTTTTTATCTCACGAAATACGAAATGTATCCTTTTTGCCTTTGCTTTAAAAAAAAAATAGATACATTTGCCAAGGATATAAAAAAGCAAAAGGATATTCTGGTATTCAATTTTTTTTTTAATTATGATTACATTTTTTTTCTTTTTTGTGTGAAATCTTAATCAGAGATTTTAAAGATTTTTTTTTATATTAAAACATTAAAACAAATAAATCATATTATTCACATCATCACATGAAATATGTGTTTCATACTTTTGGTTTTACGTATGTCCTACCTTTCATTTTTTAAAACAAATAAAGTGTACTTTTTTTCCCCACAAAAAAAAAGAAAAGAAATTTAAGGACATTTTGTTTACATTTGATTGTCTATCCTTTTTTTTATTATTATTATTATTATTATTAACATCACTTATTATTATTATTATTTATTCATTGAAAATAATAATAAAGACAATAATAATTATAATAAAAACGTTTCATAAAAATAAATATCTTGATATATCATTATAGAAAAACTTAATAATCAAACTAAAAAAGAATGAACGTGGGATTTATTGTTTAAAACCTTAAAAAAATCAGGCGGTAATGAATGACTAATTTTTTTTTTTTTAAAAAAAAAATTATAGTTTAGTTGGGGTTAATTTTCGGTGAGAATCGGTTTGTTTTTGATTCATTTTGGATATTTTGAATTATTTTGGTCTTTTTGATATCAGAAATATCTCTCTTTTGCGCCAGAATTACCAAAAATTTCAGTTACCGCAGAATATTTAACCTTATTGGTTTACGATGCTTGATAAAGTACATTTTTTAAAGTTTCGTAAATGTGCTTGATCATGATATAATAACTGTACGCCCTATTGTTAATCAAATCACGAGAACGTGGTTAGCAGTAAATGATAAGCGACAATTTGAAAAAATATTCTCTGTGGAAAAAGACAAAAAAAAAAAAAAAAATTTGTGAAAAAAAGAAAAAAATGTTTCTTTTTAAAAAAAAAAATTTATTTTTAATCAATGAATTTCTTTTTGTGATTAACAA